CTGATCCCCATCCCTGCGCTGGGCTGGCTGCTGCTTTGCTGCTGCAGACAGTAGCAATTATTCATGGACTGACTCCCGTCCTTGTCAAGCCTGCCTGCGGCTCTTCGCCTCCCGCCCCCCGTATCAAGGGACTGATAAGCTGCAGTCATCTGAGTCTCCCAGAGTAAATCCACTTCTGGCAATGCTGCCAATCCAAGCACCAACGTCCCCCACAGCCAGACGGTGAGAGGTGTATTGTGGATCCAGGAGACCGCCATGTGAGCCTGCTCCCAGGAGGCATCTTCAATGGAGCACGTTGCAATGGAGAGAGAAGAAAGAAGCATCCTCCTGGAAGCTTGCTAAGTAGCGAGCATGTTCAGTTCTGCAAGGTGGACCCCGGGAAGTAAAGGGAGAAAAACCAACCATGACCACCATGCCCATGACAGACAGTTCATAAAACAGGACCCTGGGGGGTATGGTCAGCCACTCCAGGTGGGGAAGCACCAATGGCAGTGATTACAAGGATAAAGAGGGGAGCAGCCCTCTGATGCCACGTGAGGTTGCTTCTCTTGAACTAGTGGACCCACTTGGGGGCTCCTCCTGAAGATCATCCACATCCCACGGCTACGAACCTGGTGAACAAAAGCAATGCAAGTAGCAAAGTAATTCCCTTGCTCAAGTGCTGGAAAACAGACCGAGTCTCACGCAGACCTACATCCAGGGCCAGAACAACACAGCTGTGCAATTCCCTGCTGGCACTCACACCTGATCTTTTGGGAAAACACCCTCTCCGAGGCACTGGGAAGCAGGAGCATTACTGGGTGGCAACACAGATAAAGCCCTGGTTCAAAGTACCCTGATACCCTTCCCCTCCGACAGGCTGGGCATTAGGAGCGGAGTCAGTGGGGTTGGTAGCTCTGGTAGGGCTCGTGGTGTGTCCCCTCCAAGGACTGCTAGCTACCACGTCCTCAAACGGAGTCCAAGGGCCTAAACTCCCCTCCCCATAGCCACCTGGGAGCCCCCGTCACAATGGGGGCAGACAGGTCCCTCTGACTGCTTTGCCACCTTCACTAACTGCTTGCAGTGTTACCTTAGGAAGCCACCCCTCTCCCCCCTTCCTCATCACTCATCTTCCCCGTAGCACCTCACTCTGCCAGTCCAACAGCCCATTTTCTTTCCCCAGCAGAGACCATCCTACTGCTGCCTTTCTTCCCTGCAATGGTGCAGGAAACCAGATGTCACAACGGATGATCGTCACAACTTCCAGGAACAAGCCACGACAACTTCTTGTTGCTGTTATCAACTAGAGCATTTCAGAACGATCAGAGCTGGACGTTTTGAGGTCTCTTGGGGAAACCAACCCCACACAAAGAAACCAAACCAAAAAAAAAAAGCCTTTTACTGTATTCGTCTTGCAGGAAGTTTCACATCTTGGATATCCCCTCCAAGGCGGGGCTGCTGCATTTCTGAAAACACATTTTTGCAAGTTTTCCAGTCTCTGCTGCCTCTCAGGTCTGCCCTGACAACTGCTTATCTGGCTTCCTGGCTGACTTCTACCTGATATCCACACAAACAGACCTGAAGTCTATCACTGGTTAGCATTTTGCACTTACTATCAGTCCCTAGGGAAACCCTTATTCTCCCCAAGTTGCTCAGACCTTCCCATGTAGCTCGGTGCCTTGACTCGTAGCCTTTATTGTTTTAATGGCGTTAGGTCACAAAGAAGCCAGAGTGCTTTTACCCTGGATTCAGCCTGGATGAAAGGTAGATTGCATACTCACCAGCCTTAGCAAGGTGTGGGACTGTCCATAAAGCCAAGACACCCTTGCTGGAAACCCATGAACATCCTCCACGTCCCCTCCGCTCATCATCTCAACGGTGCTTAAGAAGGTGACCCAGGGAATGACCTAACTCAGGCAGAAAAAGCATAAATTAGTGAATGTGTTACCATCTTCACCGTTTATCTAAATAGTTTTCTGTCGCCCCATTTTCCCATCACCAATCTAAGTCAGATTTACTCCCCGGTACTGATAGTTGTGAAAATAAGTCTGTGCAAATACTTCCGCATTGCTGGGAATTTTAAGATGCCGCAATACTTTCTCTCCTCCAAACCTAAACTTAAAGTCACATCCTCTCAAGTCCTTGTGGCAATACCATGCCCCGTCTGTCGATGCTAGCATCCGAGTCTGATGTGAGAAGGGTTTTGAAACAGGAAAGGCAGGCGCAGTTACAAGAACCCTTTTCATGATGTTGAATCACACCCCAGCTGCTGAAAGTTTCCCTTTCGCATCTGGCCCAAGCCATTGCAATTCTGTCAAACCCACAACATTTTTGAAACAGAAGCAGAGCCCTACAAAACCCCATGTATCTCTGAGGGCACAGAGTTATTACTACTGCAATAACCCAGCAGCAAGTGAAAAGCAAGTTGGGGCAATTTACCCATTTCATCCGCAGGTAAATCACCCGTTTAGCTACTGCTTCCTGTGGGATGGGTTTGATGCTGTGGAGCAGCTGCTTCGCAATAAATCCCAGCTCTCTTTCAACTCCCTGCATTTTAATCCAGGTCCACGTACCCTCGACATCTGGGTGGCTACCAGCACCTTCCATTAAAATGTGTAGAGCTGTGGTTCTCCACCTCGTTCGACTCAAGGCCCTCCCTGGAAAATGCCAGCTCTTTGGCACAAGAGGAATACAAATCTCTAAAACTCTTGGTTCAGAGGTGATACCTTTTATTAGACCAACGAACAAACAGCAAAAAAAATTGTCTGTCTTTGCAAGGTTTCAGGCACGAGCCCTTCTTCAGGCTGAGGGGAAATCAAAGATTGTAAAAGTTTGATTGAAATTTGATTTGAACTTTATCTTCCCTTAGGTAGAAGATAAATTTCATTTTGCACAGAGGAAGCTTAAGGTGGATTTAATATTCCCGTCCCCCTTTGTGTGAGATCCCTGAAGCTCTTTGGCACCTGTTTTTGACTATGGAAAAAGACTATAGAGCAAGTCTTCTGTTGCAAAGAACTCCAGAAGCTCACAGCAGGGCAGGATGGTTTTGACACTATGGATTCCTATTTGATATCTCCGGGTTTATCGTAAGAATCATGCAGAGATGTTTGCACGCCTAACATTGTTAATATTGAATGGCATCCTATAACACCCCTAAAAAGATCTTGTGGCACTCTGGTTGAGAATCACTGATGTAGAAGGACAATGCTAAAGAAGCAGACTGAGCTGCATAAAGACACGGTTAGCAAGATGCCCAGGGGAGCTGGAGGTTTCCAAGAGGAGGCTGGAGGATAAGCATTGTTCAGAGCTGATATCCTGCAGGGGGTTGGACCAGACATTCCTTGGGGTCCCTTGCAACCATACGAGTCTACGGCAAGTAGAAGACCACTGGGACTTCCCCGCTCCTGAACTGGTCGCGTGGCTATGACAAGGTGCTGAATCAGATGCACGTCTTGGTGTTTTAGCATCATATAAAATATATGACGTCAGTGGTCGCGTGGCTATGACAAGGTGCTGAATCAAATGCACGTCTTGGTGTTTTAGCGTCATATAAAATATATGACGTCAATCATAAAAACCCAGCCCGTATTTTCTAAAATAAGAACATTTGTGTACCTGATGTGTGTATCCGTTGTCTTCCTTTCCTTCTCCCCCTAGCACCTTCAGCATGTCATTTGTTTAAAAGGGGATAAAAAAACCTGTGCATGGAAAGTAAAACATGCTTTTGGGGAAACCAGATATTTTTATTAAACGTTTAATATCGACTAGTTTAATTAATACATTTTGAGATTTTCTTCCATTTTAGCTACTACTATCACTTCTGTTTTTCATGCTTGCTGTCAGAATATATGGAAATTTCAAAGTAGCTTTGAAAAATGCTGTAAAGAACTAAAGTTCACGCCTTATCACTAACCTGGACAAGTGAAATTCTCAGGAGGCTTTAGCAAATCACATCTTGCTTCTACAGATTTAAAACGTAGAACTTGCTAGCAATACTAAATGGCCAGTAACTTACCATTTGCAGTATAATTACCACAGTGACGGAAGAAAACATACTGAATGATTATAGGCCTTCAAACCTGACTTGCACTGCAAAGTTAAAAGTTTTAATCTTGGATTTTGAAACCAAAATCAATTGCTGTTTCAACTACAGTCATCAGGCACTCTGCATTTTGTTGCTATTTGATATCTTTTTCAGTTTGTGTGCCTAAAAGCTTTGTAGTGTTATGTATTTAACTAACGCAGCCTTATGGGGGTTTGGATAAAGACCCAAGCTAAATTTTGAATGCCCTTTAGCCCTGGACAATTGTGTTGAGAATTGCTTCAGATAGGTCGTCTTTCTTTTGTATTAAATCAAGGAAATTGTATGTCTTGGATTCTATGTTTCCTATGTTAAGAACGGGTGGTTATCACTAAGAACGACCTGTATGCCTGCTATTGCTCTGTTTTTGGGATAAGTGGGGGTGAATAAACTCATGACATAAGATTACATGTTGTAAATAAACTGGCAAGAAAAGGGGTTGTGTGAAGCTATATGCTAAAGCAGGGGTGGGTAAAATGCGACCCGCAGGCCGGATGTGGCCTGCCAGGCCATTCTATCCGGCCCGTGGGGCTGCTAAAAAATTTAGAAAATTAATATTTATATGCCCCTGACTGCCTGTCATGCGGCCCCCGATGACTTGCCAAAACTCAGTAAGCAGCCCTCCGCCCAAAATAATTGCCCACCTCTGTGCTAAACTCATTCCATAACAGTGTTCGGGCGCCTGCATCTGCCACATATATGGTAACATGCTCATTGTTCATGGGTCAGGATTTCTTATAACCCTAATCATAAGAAACTAACTGAGCTGCGCTGGAGTAGCCTTATGCATTTTTAGGTATAAAATTAAGAATTCTACAATTTCTCCCATTTGCAAGAACAATGCATACGACCAGTTTCTGAAAACTAGGTGGAAGTCTATTTACCTCCTGATGCTACATGCCAAAATGACAAAGATTTCCACTGACAAACACAGGAGTGTTTCACATTTTATTGCAAACAAATCTTACATAAAAAAATGCACAAATTCTAAAAAGCAAGGACACTTTGAGGAGCAGGTCCCGGGTGGAGACCAAGTGCATCCTGGAAAGGTATGTGTGTGTGTGTGTGTATACATATACAAAGGTGGCTTAAACCTCACTTTTGTAGACCCAGCGTTCCCAGCAAGACTTTGGTACAGGGCTAGCCCCCCTGTGCTGCTCTAGTTCACAGGCTTCATTCAGATGGCCACAATTGATTGAAGCTGCAGCCAAAAGATTAGCCAGGGGCAGGGTCATTCTTCTCCCATCCTGTTCCTTCTAAATGAAGTTCCTTGCTTTGGAAGCAGGAAGTGGGAGTACGATAAAACCTCCTGCCCTGGTTTTGATCCACTATCATTACGCTTCACAAATCTCTCTGATGTCTAAACTGGCTTCAGGGTCAAACACTATAAGCACACCATCTGCACAGCCCCAAAGAATCCAGTCTTATTCAGTCATTTACATTTAAGTATCTCTACTATACACACTTGATAGAAAAACTAAATTGGCATCACAGATTTCAGGGATGCGGCAACATTTCCAGAGAGTCAAGAGTAAAGGGAAACACTTTATGACAGGCATGTTTAACACCAAATGCTCTTTCTGCAAATGCTCTTTGAGGACACACACATAGACTTCAAGGTACAAAAAAACCTGATGCACTTTTTAAGAAGAAAGCAGAGGGAAGGCACCATTCTGTTTTAGCTCTGCTTGAATGCAAAAGCCGATAATTTGACATTTGCGGACTGATCTAAAGGTTTCCGTTTTCTGGGCAAACTCAAGTCCTCTTTTGATTTTTCTTCCTGACTCTCTCTTCCTTCATCGCTTGCACCCGAGGGGCGTTTCCGCTTTTTTACTTCTGTTGAATTGCTATCTGTTGTTCCTCCTTTGGCTTTCTCTGTCCAACCCTTAAAAAATATAAAGGAAAAAAGCATGTGTATTGGAAAAGCAAAACACTATAACAGAGTGTCTCTCAAAAAATGGTCACATGCTTTCACCATCACTAAATTCAGAGCCACTGGTTCAAGATGTCCACCATAGGTCCACGCGCTTGATCAACTGAGCAATATAAATCTGCGTACATTTTTGCGACAATCTTCACTGTCCTATTATATTAGTGGGAAAGAAATACCTGCCATATGGGAGCAGCGTCTGCACTGACTCCAGCTAAGATGCAAAAGCAAATTGATGATAAAGTTGGAAGTTACCTCCTGGGAATCCTGTGTGCTAATACCGCTTCCTCTTCACATCGTTATCTTAACAAAGCTAGCTGTGAACTGCAATGGCAGTGGTTTAATGACCACTCGCAGCATATTGCTCTACAGTCCTTTGTTTTAGCTGTTAAAAATGTTTTTCTAACATCACCTTAACAACTTATCCTAATTTTAAGAGTCCAGGAATAATTACTCCTGGTTATACTGTCTGTAACAAACTTGAGTCATTTCTTCTCTTCTCTTATTTTGCTGATTCATAGATTTATTATTTGTTTCTCAATGTCGAATGATGCTTATTTAATGCTCCAGGCTTCAAGACTCAGTACTGGTCCATGGTTGGTTTCTCTCACGCGTTTTTAATAGGTGAAGTTTTGAGGGCTAATTACTAATCAGAGAATCAGAGAAAACAAGGGTTGGAAGGGACCTCAGGAGGTCACATCTAGTCCAACTCCCTGCTCAAAGCAGGACCAGCCCCAACTACATCATCTCAGCCAAGGCTTTGTTTAGCCAGGTTTTAAAAACCTCCAAGGGTGAAGACTCCACCACCTGTCTGGGTAACCTGTTCCAGTGCTTCACCACCCTCCTAGTGAGAAAGTTTTTCCTAATATCCAACCTAAACATCCCTTGCTGCAACTTGAGATCATTGCTCCTGTTCAGTCAATATAATATATTTGCACAAGCTCACTGCAGGCCCCAGATTGTGGACAAAATGTTTTCTTTTCCTGTCCATGTTTTTCCTGTAATGAGGAAAACAAAGCTCCACATACAGATCCACACCAACATGGCTTAACCAAGGCGTTGACCTTGTTTTGGTGTGCCATATACTATTTATATGACATTACAGCAGTTACTGTAGCCTTAGAGTGTACATTAGTCTCTAATTTGCATTGCACGATAGCATCTAGTTCCTTTTCAGCATTTCTCCCTCCTAACAAGTATTCTCCTTTTCGGTGTTTTGCTATCTAAGCTTGACCACTCTGATTAAGTTCCTTCCTTTACAACAGGGGCGGGCAATTATTTTGGGCAGAGGGCCGCTTACTGAGTTTCGGCAAGCCATCGAGGACCGCATGACAGGCAGCTCAGGGCAGATTAATATTAATTTTCTAAATTTTTCAGGGGCCCTGTGGGCTGGATAGAATAGCCTTGCAGGCTACATTCATCTCCTGGGCTGCATTTTGCCCACCCCTGCTTTACAAGGTCTTTATATCCTCTCCTGTGTTCAAACCCTCTCTAAATCTAATACTTTTCTAAACAGTATTCCTTCCCATAGGTGATGAGTGCCTCCTGAGGCTGGGGGGGTCATTGTGACCGCCCGCAGGCAGTAAATGCAGGCATCGGCAGTGAGGGTGGCCCGACTGGCCGCAGTGGTGTCGGCAGCAGGGGACTCCCTGCGGCCGATCGTGGACTGGGGGGTACCCCCACAGCTAGACGGTGAGCCCGGAAGTGCCAGTGGCACTTCTCAGGGGGGCACCAGCACTCCGCCTGCCTCCGTCTAAGCCAAGAGCGCTCGCTCTCAGGGGGGGCACCAGCGCTCTCACCCCCGTGCACCTCCTACACATCGCCATTGTTCCTTCCTTTAAAGCAATTGTTCACTTTCAAACATATTGACATTTGACTGATAAGTAAATGACAAGTTTTGAGTTTTGGCCTGGTCTAATACTTTGAGCTCCTGGGGCCAGAGAGTAGCAAGATCTAAAACAGCATCAAAACTGGAATTTTCACAGGCCTCAGAGATAAAAAGAAACAATTCTTGAAAAAATTCGAGAGTGCTTTCTTACCATCCTTTCTTCAGATGTTAGCATTCTAAACCGACTCATGCCTTCTTTTATTATTTCTGTTTCTTCCAAATCAGGTGCATCTTCCAAAATGCTGCCTCTGTTTTCTTCTAGCCACATCTGGAATCCTGTCTTTGGTCTAAAGTAGTCACCAAAAGAATTGCCAGTGTATGAACATTATCAAAAACTCTTTACAAAATGTCACATTTGAACCAAAACCCAAATGGAATATTCTTAGCTGTCACAAAGCCCTTCCCTAAAGAAGTAGTGGATATGCTCAGCAGTTCCCAGTCGCTCTCAGCACCCCCTCAGGACTGTGGCAGCGGCAGGACAGGTTTGTATGTTTTTAAAAATAAAGTGCTTGACTACTTAAAAGTGTTTGCAGATGAACACTTCAGTGGTCTGTCTCTCAAAGCAGGATGTAGACCCCCGTGATCACTGTGTCGCCGTAGCATGCCATACAGCGATGTAATGCGTTGCCACATCACTGTAGGGCGCCGTGTAGATGCGCCCACTATTTGCCACATGGTTCTCTTTTAAAATTTTACGGTCACAAACTCCTCCAAGACCTTTTTAGACTGAACATAAGCAAAAACTTCTTTACTGTCCGAGCCCCCAAGGCCTGGAACAGACTCCCTCCAGAGCTGGTGCAAGCACCTACTCTGGACTCGTTTAATAAACATTTGGACGCCTATCTTGCTGGGATCCTTTGACCCTAGCTGACTTCCTACGTTTGGGACACGGGGCTAGACTCAATGATATTAAGAGGTGCCTTCCAGTCATAATGTCTATGAAATCTATGAAAATTGGACAATTGCATGCAAGACTGCTACATATATGGAACCTCCTTCTGGGGCTTTTATTTATCTCCAGTGATAACATGGGATAGTCCAAGCTTAAACACTTCCTTTACTTGACTCAGACATGGCAGCATGGTATACTTAGTGTTCAGCAATTGGGATCAGACATAGAAATAACACTAAAAAATAAATCAGGAATGTGGACCTAAAATTTATATTATACACCATTCATGTGTGCATCTATCATGAGAAATGCCCCTATTTCAGACTGACACCACACACTCACTCTGAAATGTTTTTAGGTTATGAGGGATCAACTGAACCTAGAAAAACATTTATTCTATTTTATTTGTAACTTCCTTTTAGCTATAACATGATTTGTTTTATGCCGAGACAGGTTGGGCAATACAGATAATGGAAACAGCAGTAACTTCACAACATGAACATTTGCTGAATACTCCTACCTGATTTCATGATCCTTTATCTCACTCCTATGTCATCAGCAGGGATCTGGGTTTTCCATCTCCCATGGAAAATGTGGATTTTCTCCTTTAAAGGAGAATAACCCGGGAAACTGTGGGTTTCCCCTTGCAGATTGCCCTGCGAAAAGCTGCTTGGGGTGTGGCAGGAGGGCGATCAGAGGTACATGGCCGATAGTACAGCCAGGCAGCGTGGTAAACCCGGGAAACTGTGGGTTTCCCCTTGCAGACTGCCCTGCGAAAAGCTGCTTGGGTTGTGGCAGGAGGGCGATCAGAGGTACATGGCCGATAGTACAGCCAGGCAGCGTGGTAGAGAGCAGCTCCCTCAGCTCCCTGCAGGTAAGTCTATGTGGCAGGGGCACAGGCAACACCTAGGTGCATGGAGTGGGGTGGGAATTGGTGACATGTGGGAGGCACAGTGGGGAGATTGAGGTAGCAGTGACCGCTTGCACTGAGCCTGCATGGTGAGGGAGAGAGTGGGGCATGGTCGGCAGTTGGCGACTGGGGGCACTGCCCAGCTGGTGCAGCGCAGTGCCCGGGCTGAAGCAGGTGGGAATCTGTGGCCACAGGGCCTGGCCAGGGAGCAGCATGGAGCCATGGGTGGCTCATCCTGGGGGGAGTTCCCTGCTGCTATGTGCACTTGCAATGAGAGGTTGGGTCCACAGACGATTCATCAGAGGGGCACATGCTCTCACCCCCAAAGTATTTTGTGAGACATTAAAGTCAAAGACAAAGCTTTGGCTGGGATGATCTAGTTGGGGATGGTCCTGCTTTGAGCAGGGGCTTGGACTCCCAACCCTCATTTTCTATGATTCTGTGAAATCCTATGTATTTCTTCACCTTTTGTTTTCAGTGGTCTCTGTGGCAGCAGCTGGTGTTTCAGGCACGGCCTTCTCAGCTTTTTCTTCTCTTTCTTCCACTGTTTTGTCATCAGTGCTGGGTGTACGGGACTGGAAAAAAGAGGCAGCTAGGGCCTAAAAAAATAAGCAAGATTTGGACAAATATACTGGTAAATGCATTTCTCCATCTGACAACATGGGCTACCTCATTATAAGGAAAATGTCTTTACAGAAATATTTCTATTACTGTAACTCCTACTCTGACAGTGTAAAGACTTAAGAGGGTTTACTATCAATTCTATTTCATAAATAAAATAGCACAAATAGCAACATTTATACTTTGTACAGCTTGACAAAATTCTCATTGTTTGTCTGTATTACTCTTCACCAGGGGTTCCCAAACTGCAGTACATGTACCCCTGGCGGGGGACACAAGACATCTCTGGTGGGTACACGGGAGAAATTATGTAATGGAGGATTTAATTTTCATGACAATAATTGGCATTTAAAGGGTACGTGGGCAGCTGGTAAATCTGGAAGGGGGTATGCAAGAAGAAAAAGTTTGAGAACCTGTCCTCTACACAAGCCTGTACTCTGCTTGGGCAGAGTTTACAGCTGGAAATTTCATTAAATCAATCGGTTTTTCTCCATTCAGTAAGAGCAGATAAAAAAAAAAAAAAAATCAATTCTCTGATTCTCATTAAAATACTGTAAGGACTGGAAATACCTGCTTGGACTTTGGCTTGGGAATCAGAGGCTTTAGAACTGGAGACTCCTGCTTGTTTCCAGCCCGACTTGTAGATGCAGGGGTTTTCTTGGAGGCCTTGCTCATAGTGTCTAGAACATTACCTGGGGGAACTGTAGGGTCTTTTTTGTTGGCTGTCACCTAAAGTAACAAGCAGTTAGGAACTTTTTATGTTTCAGTCGCAAGGGAATCTTTCCCTCAGAGATTCTGTCAGATGGAAACATGAACTTTAAAAAAATTTACTGTGTAATTTAAATTAAAAAAAAAAAACAAGCCAAACCAACTGCAAAATTCTTACCTTGAAGGGATTGACTCGACCTTGGCTGCTGGATGCAATGACAGCTTCTTTTTTTTCCCCAAGAAAAGGGAAAAAGAACAAACAAAGCACATGTGAATACCTAGGAAATTCTGTGTGAGTTTTAAGAGGAAATGGAACATTGTTCATTTAATTATCTTCATTACAAAAGTAAAAGTATTCATTGTCTGGTTAATCAGAATGAAAATTCTGCACCCAGTGTTGCTAAGAGTTTGGGAAAGAGGAAGATATTAGGTGCATGGGCTGATATTGTTGACAAATGCCAGCAGCGACATGATACACAGACCTAATAAAATGATTTCTGATCAGAATACATTGAGATTTACTTACCAGATTTAGGAGTTGAAACCTCTGGCATTCCTACACTTTTGCAGAATGGATTGGATCCTTCAGAACAAAAGAAACAGGGGATTTTTAACCACAGCTGAGTGCAAATACCAACAGAGCAACTCAGGGCATGGGCAGATGTAACGACTGAAATGTTTTCAAGTAAAACGGCCTTGGAAATGTTTAGCCAGGGGATACACATACAACTGCCTGTGTATTTCAAAACACTACTTCTCTTCTAGCACCAGCCAGGGGTACAGTCTCCTGTGATTACGTACTCTAGCCCCCCTCTTTCCTCCAATCGCAGGTATGGGAGGTAGAGGAGAAAAAGAGCACGAAGAGTGAGAGAGGAAAGGTAAGGGGGAGAAGGGGTGGTCCTGCTGTTGAGAATCCAACACTCCAGTTCCTATCCTCTCTACTTCTCTTTCCTCAGCTGAGCAGAACAGTAGATGAACAGTAGGTGAACGGGTCGACCAGGGGGAAGGCTTTGCTGGATTTGGTTCTAGCTAAAGGGAATGACCTGGTGGGAGATCTGAGGATTGAGGGTAATCTGGGAGACAGTGATCATGAGACGATAGAACTCACTATCCGTCGTAGGGCAGGGAAGTCACCCAGTAGGGCAGAGGTGCTTGACTTCAATGAGCTTAGGAAAATAGTGGGAAGGACCCTATGGGAAGAGGGACTGGAGGGGAAGGGAGTTCAGGAAGGGTGGCTGTTCCTCAAAGGAGCGATCCTCAGAGTGCAGAAAAGGTCTATTCCTGTATGCAGGAAAGGTGGTAAAGGGGCCAGGAAGTCCTCTTGGCTTACCAGAGGAGTCAAGGAGTGTTTAAGAAAGAAAAAGGAGGCTTATGGACAGTGGAAACAAGTAGTACTCACCTAGGAGGAATACACAAGTATAGCCCGTATTTGTAGGGAGAGGATAAGGAAGGCAAGAGCAGAGACCGAGATCAGGTTGGTGACTGAAATCAAGGACAATAAGAAGTCTTTCTTTAGGTATACAGGGAGAAGGAGGAAGACCAAGGGGAGCATGGAGCCCTTGCAGACTGGGACAGGACAGCTGATAGCAGACTGTCAGGAGAAAGCTGAACTCTTTAATGAATACTTTGGGTCGGTATTCCTGCATACAAACGGTGGTTGCGTGTTTAGTCGGATACTGGACGGATGTGAGGGGGTGATTGCCAGGCAATGGTCAGTGTTGAACTGGTGAAGGAGCACTTTACTGCGGCTGAATGTTTTCAAGCTGGCAGGACCAGATGGACTATACCTGACAGTGCTGAGGGAATTGGCTGGAGTCATTGCAGGCACGTTGGAAAAGATATTTGAAGATTTGTGGTGCTCGAGAGTCCTGGAAGACTGAAAAAGGGCCAACATGGTGCCATTCTTTAAGAAGAATGGAGAAAGGAGGATCTGGGAAACTAGAGGCTAGTCAGTTTGACCTCGATACCAAGTACATTTTGGAAAAAAATATCAAGAAGTTCATTTGTGAGAGGCTGCCAGAAGGCAGGATGCTGAAGGATAGCCAACATGGTTTCACTGCAGGCAGGTCGTGCCTGACCAACCTCGCCTCCTTCTATGAGCAAGTAACGAACTGCTTAAGTGTGGGAGATGCAGTTGATGTCATATACTTGGATTTTAAAAAGGCCTTTGATATTGTCTTCCATGATGCTGTTATAAAAAAACGGGGATTGTGGGCTGGCAGAGTCCACGGTCAGGTGGGTTGGGAACTGGCTAACGGGTCAAACCGAGAGAGGGTTAATGGATGGGTCTGTATCGTCTTGGTGGGAGGTGGCTAGTGCTGCCCTGCAGGGTTCGGTTCTTGGCTCGTGCTGTTCAACATCTTTATCAACAATTTAGATGAGGATGTGGAAAGAACACTGGCTAACTTTGCAGGTGATACTAAGTTATGGAGAAAAGCGGTCATGCTAGGGGATAGGATGCAAATCCAAGCGGACCTGGACAAGCTGGAAAAGTGGGCAGAGCGGAACCGAATGCAGTTCAATACGGATAAACGCAGAGTGGTTCATCTGGGGAGAAGTAACCAGCAATATGAATATAGGTTAGGAGAAAATGTCCTGGCCAGCATGATGGCTGAAAGGGAAACCTGGGGGTTATGGTTGATCACAGGATGAACATGAGCCACTAGTGTGATGCTGTAGTCAACAGAGCTAATAGCATACTGGGATGCATTAGCCATTGCATTGTGAGCAGGGCTAAAGAAGTGATGCTTCCTCTCTACTAGGCGCTGGTGAGACTCCAGCTGGAGGACTGAGTCCAGTTTTAGGCACCGCACTTCAAAAAAGACGTGGAAAATCTTGAAAGGGTGCAGAGAAGGGCCACAAAAATGACTAAGGGCCTGGAGGACAAACCTTATGAAGAAAGACTAAGGGATTTGGGACTGTTCAGCCTGGGGAAAAGACTGAGAGGGGACTTGGTGGCCATCTGTAAATATGTAAGGGGTGAATATTGGGAGCTGGGAAAAAAACCTGTTCACTAGGGCGCCCCAGGGGAGGACAAGGACCAATGGCCATAAACTGTTAGAGGATCATATCAGGTTGGAGGTAAGGAAGAACGTATTTATGGTAAGGGTGACGAGAACCTGGACTACACTTTCCACGGAGGTGGTGCTGTCCCAAACTTTGGAGGTCTCTGAGAGGAGACTGGACAGACACCTTGCTGGGATCATTTGATCTCAGCAGTATTCCTGCCCAGAGCACGGGGGTTGGACTCAATGATCTTTCGAGGTCCCTTCCAGCCCTTCATTTCATTTTGGCATTTGGATGTTTATCTTGCTGGGATCATCTGATCCCTGCAGACTTCCTGCCTCTGGACTTGGGCTGCACATCTGGCAGGCTGTCCACCCTGATCACCCTCCCACTGCTGTGCAGATGTAACAAGAAGTGAAACGCTCCAAAATAGCACTTCACTTGAAGAGGTACTGTTTGGGAGGGTTTCAGCCACTTTTGGGAACATTACAAAGGATTTGTACAGCTGGCCCTTGGAAACATTTCAAAGGCATCTGAAACATTTTTGTTACGTCTGTCCACACCCTCTTTCAAAACAATCCTACTGAACTCATGCAACTTTAGCACTAAAAAAATTTAATCGGTTGCATCTGTACCTGTATTTACCTCTTCTAAGGAAAGGGGGTGAATCATATACTGTATTTTCTTTCTGAAGTCTACTCTTTCAGGGATAAACCCCAGTTACAGTTAATCTATTTGAGAGGTAGAAGCAACAGGTTTTATTTAAAAGACTCTCTGGCACTTAAAGTATTAAAACACTATAGAACAGATCAGACTGTGAAAGCAAAGCAAAGATATATAACTTCATGCCTTTAAATAAACGTAAAAAGTTCATGCCCTTTTTACAAAATCAACCCAATTTGCTATGTGGGCATAATTCAGCAATTGCCACATTTACTCTAATACAAAATGAGGTTTCCTCCTCAGTTGGCACGGGGAAAAAACCCCTTGTCTTACAACTGCATACAAGGAAATATCAATTAAACTGCTGCCAAAAGCAGCACATGCTTAGCAATGGAAACCAACTGTGAAGTTGACTGAAATCAGCTCACACTGGGCAAACATGCTGATGGGAACTTTTTTTTTTTTTAATAGTGTGTGTGGTCTCTAAAAATAGGGGCAGGTGTTCCCTCCCCAGGGAATGAGCACCAGGCCTGAAAGTACTGCAATATCCAATATCAGACTGGCACTGGGACGACCAGAGCCAGCCCTGACTCCCTCCTCTTGGTGTCAAAAATGCTTAATCTTAGCCAAAAGGCAAGGATAAGTTAGTGCAGCCCATCTGAATATGATAAACGGTAGCGCCCATTAAGTGCAGTCCACTTCACCACTGACTCTTTTTGAAATCATAGTGAGCCACGACATTGCATATACATTTTGACTTCCTCTTCATACATACAGCTGAGCTATGCCTTTCTTTCCAATTTCCAATGATTCCTGCCTCTTTATCACCCATAAATGCCTGGCAAACATCACCAAATGTGGCCCCAAACAGTTGACCCAGAATCCCTCTGTTACACCCTCTCTCAGCCTGGTGCATACGATTAGTGTGGCCCCATCCTCCATGAGGTGAAGCCAAACCAGGTTGCCCAGTACCTCATCTGCATATTAATTTTTGGAGCATCCCAGGACTTGTGACAAGAACACCAGGTTCCAGCCTTGAATGGGGCTAATTAGCACATGGATCCTTTGTTGGGAGTATTCGGAGTAGACACCAGTACTGAGCAGTGCTCAGTTGTGGGGTCACTGTGCCTTGAAATGCTGTTGACACAGCCCAATGAACCATGTGGCGAATCACGAGCTTCGGCTTTGGACTAATATGCATAGTCTGTACTACATATAAGTACATGCCAAAGTGCTGCTTAAAAATGTACTTATGGAGTACCTGTGCTAAAACTTGAAGCAATTTCCAAAAAAGGTAACATGCATCAATTCTGGATGAACTAAATGCGTGGGTACTATATGCAAATTGCTACAGCCATGTTTCATTTCAAAATTATTGTTTTCAAATTTGCTCCTCATTTCCACGTGCTCAGGGGGAGCAGGGTCTCACAGTAAGGAGAGGGGGAAAACGTTGGGGGGGAAAGCAGAGAGCAAAGGGACTACCTGACCCTCCCCAGATTTATTTTCCCTGCTGTAGCAGTGGGAGGGCGACAAATTCAAGGAAAACCTCCAATAATTAGGTTCTATTCCTGGAAAATAATAACAAAATTATAATCTTTTCATATATAGAATGTAATTATTGGGGGTAAGGGCCATCTTCTATTCAAGTAAATATGGTATCTCTTCCCTGGCAACCCTACCATACGGAGATCAAAATTAAAACTGTTGAATATTCATTAACTGACAGAAAGAGGTACAACCCAGCCTGGTGGTGGGGAAGGAAATGGAACAGATCAGCATAAACCAGAGGCAGGCAAAATACAGCCTGTGGGCCAGATGCGGCCCATCAGGTCGTTCTATCCAGCCTGTGGGGCCCCTAAAAAATTTAGAAAATTAATTATTATTTTCTCCTGGCTGCCTGTCAAAGATGACAAGGCGCCAGCAGCATCAGGACCCAGAGGGAGCTGGTGGCAGGACCTAGGGGTGCCAGGACCCAGCAGCCGCAGCAGCAAGGCCTTCCCAGCCCCACTCCGCTACCCCCAGCCCCAGCACCCAACCTTCTGGCCTGGTGACCCTGGGGCTGTTCCTCCACCCTCCCTTCCTTGGGGAGTGCAACTAAGCTAAGAATGGGGGAGAGGGGAGGACCACCGACAATTGCCCCAGTCCTTGGCACCAGGCCATGCCAATTCGTGCTGCATCCTGCAGTCCCAGTGATGCAGCCAGGAACTGCATGGTGACAGAGCGGCTGGCATATGGGAGGGATGGGGAGAAGCAGCAGATGGAAAAGTGGGGAAAAGGCGGTGGCAGTGGTGGCAGGAAGGGGGCGAGTAGCAGCAGATGGGCAGGAGCACAGCAACAGCTGGGCGGAAGCATGGGGCTCACATCAGTGCCCTGGGGCCAGGGCTGTTGGGGGCCCAGGGCAGGGTGGCAGGAGTGTAGGGCCCAGGCTGGCAGGGGCTCTATGGAGCCAGGCTGGCTCCCCACTCTCCGTACTGGTGCAGCCCAACATGGCTCCATAGAGCCCCTGCCAGTCTGAGCCCCGCACTCCTGCTACCCTGCCCTGGACCCCCGCCAGCCATGGCCCTGGGGCACTGGTGTGGGTCCTGTGATTCCTGGCTGGCTCCATGCAGTGCCAACTGGCAGGCGAGGAGTATGGCGAATGGGGAGGATATTAATTTACCTCATTGATGCCATAAAAGTTAAAGCTTGCCCAGTGCTTTGGACATGCTAATCACTGCATAACCTGTGGAGTCCTCAAGGAATCCTCAAGTGACCAGGGGAATTTCCAGAATTTACTATTACATCAATAAAAAAAATCAAAAGATCTCCCTAATTTCCCAGCCAGCCCTCAAAGTATTTCTTACTGTGTCTCTGCACTGCTGTCATTTCTTCCATCTCCTCAGCTGCATCAGCTTCCTCACTATCTTCCACTTCTTGGTCATGCTGGAGGGTCCTGGCTCGAGGTTGGCTCCACTCCGTAGCAGAATGGCTGTAACTAAATGAAAATAACTGTGAAGAGGCTACACCTAGAACTCCCCCCTCCTCCTAAAGAAATGCAGAAGGAACTTTTACTCACAGCAGGGGGTCAAAGAAAAGGTCCGCTAAATTTCTGAATTAATTTCATGAAATGAAAACAATCAGGTCTGGGGTTTTATTTTACACTGAGCCTTTGATGAAAATGTGAAATGACTGACAAAAAACAAACCAAAGCTCTAGATAATTACAGTATCATTAACCATTTCAGTGCAACAAAAACACAAAATTCCTTTCCCCCCAGCAGTATTCATGCAGCTGCAAAGACGACCGCGTATGCCTGTGGGTTCTCTTGAAATTCGCAGCAAAGGCCAGCACTGGCCTCCAAATGATGCAGAACTCAGGTGGTTAAGCAAAGGCTCCAAGAAAGGTAACATGATTTTGCCTGACTCTTTCAGGCAAGAGAGGAGGTTCTGTCCTGCGAGAACCTTGTTAGCATTTTGCTAGTGGTGGCAGATGACAAAACAAGGAGCAATGGTCTCCAGTTGCAGCAAGGGAAATTGAGGTTGGATATTAGGAAAAACCTTCTCACTAGGGAGGGTGGTAAAGCACTAGAACAGGTTATCCAGAGAGATTGTGGACTCTCCATCCTTGGAGGTGTTTAAGAGCCAGCTACACAAAGCCCTGGCTGGGATGATGTAGTTGGTGCTGGTCCTGCTTTGAGCAGGGGGTTGGACTAGGTGTGACCTCCCAAGATCCCTTCCAGCCCTAACTTTCTATGATTTTATGACTCTAGAGGTGTGGAGAAAGGTGTTAACAATACAGGAAAGGGATAAATACTGGAGAATTCCTGGAAAGATATTTGCAAAATTATTAAAGATTATAGGCCTTGCTGGAGTAATGAGTGATACAAGCACTGATCAATGCATATCAAATTCACAGAGGAGAGGCTTTGCTGAAAGCACTGATAAAGGCTGACCTCAGTACTACTAGGGTACCCGTGGCAGCAAACTTGACAGACAGCAGAGAGGTAAAGTTGATAGTTAAGGTGTTAAAACTGATTGTTAAGAAGAAACAGTAATGCTGGTGCCAAAGAAATCTAGAAGGGCACCTGGTGATAACAAAGTCCGAGGATTAGGGTGATGTGGTAGAGGTGTCAATGTTTGCACGGTAAATACCCGATATAAACAGAACTACTCACTTCATGTGCGAGAGGAAGCCTGGAAATCTTTAAACCATGCATTAGGCTTAGGGGGCACAAGCAACTGAGAGTTATGCCTATGCCTCACCAGCATCCAGGGCTAACATCTTGCAACCCTTTGGGAAGGCAATGTTAGCATGTAGAACAGGGTGCCACGACACATGGGGTGCCTTGGGATCCTTTCAAGGGTGCCACACAATGTTAGATGTGCAAACATAGTTCACAAGATAAACCCAGAGATTTCAAACAAGAATCCATACTGCAAAAAACATTCTGACCTGTTGGGGGTCTTTGAGAGCTTTGCAACAGAAGAACTGCTCTAGTATTTTTTCTGTAGTCATAAACGAGTGAAAACTGAGAGCTGGCATTTCCCAAGGGGAGCCTTGAGTCTAAAAAGGTTGAGAACCACTGGCATAGATGTTGTGCAGGTAATAAATCTGGCTGAGCTTTTGCAACCAAACCAAACCTTGGGGCCAATTCTTTGTGTAAAGTTGAGATCTCCAAGGGAATGTGCTGCGTGGCCCAGCCACAGCAGAGACAATACCCTGGCAGCACGCGTGTACACAAAGAACTACACTGACCAAGAGAGAACATGGAGGAACCACACAGACCAAGCTTTTCATACTCCCCATTTAAATATATCAAATACATGAACAAGCCACTTCTCTGCCTACAACAGCTGGCAAATGAATGCATATTTTCAAGCTGGAAATTAAGCAGAAGGGCTCTGAAAATTTGATCTGATATTTTACCAAATCCTATTAAACTACCAAATACATTTTCTGCTTTCTTCCCCCTCTCTGCTGATTACTAAGATGTGTGTATGTAAACAGTGGCTCTATTCCAGGCAAACTCTGGCAGCAATGAATGACTCTGGCAATAAGAGCTATAATTCAACTCCGATAGACTGAGGTCACAAACATTAACTACAGCTTCCATTCATGAGCAAGAGACGTGGATGGAACAGCCTACCTAGAAGGGAGCTACGACTGTTTGTACCTACATATTCACAGATAAACCTGCAGCTGTATTTACAGATGGGCCCCTGAACTTGTTGCAAAATTAACCTTCCTCCTATAAGCTTACAAACCCGATGCACTGTATTATGACGACAATACCCACAGGTGGTGAAAGATTGTGAAAGCTTTTCCGTCACTGGATTAGGGACAACATTTAATACCAATTATTATTATTAATCATCTTTATTACTGTAGCGTCTCAGGCCTAAAAAAGAATGGCGCCCCATTGTGCTAAGCAGTGTACCAAACGCAAATTAGGAGACTGTCTTCATCCCAAATGCTTGCAATCTAAACTGACAGGGCAAACCCAGGGAGGGGGGGAAGCGTAGAACAGAGAGCAGGGTGAACAACGTGATGGTAGTAAGCGCGTTAGGGTATAAAGAGATGTCGCCAAATCAAACAGATCAACTATGGCAGGATGTCATTGGGCAATATGCACACTGCCTGTTTTTCTGCCCATTGGGACAATGAGCAACGTGCTCCCCACTTGCAGAGAGGCGCCCCAGGGAATCTTTGGGGCACATCTCTGTGAATAGAGAAAGCCAGTTCAGGTGTGGTCCTGGGGCTGAGATTGCCCATCAGCGTGTTGGCAATCCCAGCCCTAGGACCGCACTGGGGTGTCAGCATGTGCCTGGGGAATCCCAAATGGGGGAACCCAGGCAGGCACTCCCAATGTTTCAGGGGTCTGATCCTGATGCCCCAGGAGTGCCTGCCCAGGGAGGCTGGAGTAATGGGTAACTCCAGGCTGCCCACTCTCCTGCCTTAAAAACCCCCCAGCTGTTAGCTGAAAAATAGCAGCACAAAATCCTACCACCTGTGGCAGCCACAAATTTAGGGCATTTGTGGCATGAGAAAAGGTGTGGACATCTGTCTGCTTGGCCTCTGTGTCACTAGAAATTTTTTAATGGTAGTACAAAGGCAAAGTCTGTTTATACCCTTGGTTCCACCATTTTTTGGGAGGGGGGGTTGTTAGAAAGGGCCACACTAAATGTCAAGGAAAATGAAGGAAGAGGAGCCCTGAAGAGAAGGGAAAGGACACAGACAGGGCAGGGGAGAGGAGGAGAAGAGTGCATGGAGTGGAGCAGAGGGAAGAGTCTGCAAATGCAGACTCATGGACACATTTACTATCGAATCAAATGCCTTTGCTATGCAGCACAAGTGGAGCATGCACAAGATGCACAGCTTTCTACTGATGGAGGTCACTCCACTCCAGGAGATCCTTCAGGAAGTCAGGAGTAAGCATATACTGTACCAGTAGTGTGTTGTCTTCCCTGCTATCCTTCATCCCCTGGATCAGCCCGTTGCTCAACACAAACCGGCTACTCTCCAACTTGCAGCTGGGCATCATAACCATGCCTACTACCAGCAGCTAGTCTGGGAGAGCTGGTCATGTGTCTGCTCCTTGCTACAGAACAAATGTACTATGCCATAAAATCTGCAGCCTGATGGAAAGGAGAGAGAGGGATAGAGCAAAGAGCCAAGAAACACAATGGAAACCCAGTCAAAATACTGTTCAAGGCTATTTGGATGAAGGTACCATGCGGTTGGCACCATGTTTCCTGGTTTCTTTAGAGTAGGGGCACCTGTCCCTTCCACAGCCGTGTGTGGCATCCTCAGTGTTAGGAGGCAGGGCAATGTACTTTACCTCCTTGGTGTGGTACTCCTGTTTAGTAATCCCCCGGAGGAAGGGTACAAAAGCTGTGAACAGCATCTGCTTTGACTGTAATGCTCATATAAGGGCAGCTCTATGCTCGTTACGGCATTGAAGTAGCCAAACTGGGCTAAAAATCACACTTCGTTACTCAGTGCAAGTCTGTTTAGCATGAACAACCAAACTACACATAGCTCTATGCTCGTTACGGCATTGAAGTAGCCGAACTGGGCTAAAAATCACACTTTGTTACTCAGTGCAAGTCTGTTTGGCATGAACAACCAAACTACACACTAAACCTGGTCTAGGTGTTTCTCTACAGTTTTGCAGGAGAACTAAGTACCAATACAGTACACTGAACCTGGGAGCTCGAGAAGTCTTCTGAGGCTCGTGCATCAATGCATTAACAGGATTACATCACAAATAGACTGGACCTAGAATGCTGTTTTAATCGATTCCCCGTGGGTTTACTTACTACCCTCATTACTGATACAATCATCAAAAATTCTGCTAACAAGTGATTAAGAACAGACCCAATCTCTCTAGCTGTACTAGCTCTGCAGGGTGACCTCATTACAATGAATACCCAGAAGGAATTGAACGACATGGTGCCATTTTTATATAAACCATTTTCACAGCACAGCCAGAGCAAGGATTAGAGTCAGTTGTCATACAAAAGTGAACAGGCTGAAAAATTATAGCGTAGGACCATAAAAACATATTGATGGGCTCAAAATTTTGACTAGATCAGTATAAAAACCTGATATTGCAGCTCCTCGAGCACATAGAAAATATTTTTTACCCAGCATTCAGATGGCTTCGGAAATCCTCCTCCTCCTCCTCTTCCTCCTCAGCTGCTGCCAACTCTGTTGCTTTCTCTACTGCCAATTCACTTAGTCGCTGGGCCAATATTAGTTTTCGGGAGCGGGAAGCATACTTGACAGCTAAGTTCACAACATTTTGGGTCATGAGGCCAGCGAGTTCCATACATCTAAATTCACGCTCCAGTTTACAAGAAAGCTAATGAAAAAGAAGAAAATCCCTTGAGGGGGGAACTCTCCAGGGAAAACACTTCTTAGATTGGCCCAAACAGAGCCCTTCATGACAGCACAGCAGCAACCATCCCCAGCCCGATACCTCCCGAGCAGCACAGCTTTGCTTACAGGTGCTGGTCATTCATAAGGGCAGTAACTTAACATGCACGGTTTCCCACATAGGCCACACAAACCTTTCATCTAATACCATATTATAGATGAAGGTGTTAAAATAAAACCATCATTTACAAGAGTGGGGGCCAACCTTTTTGGCAGGCATGACAAATTAGCCTTGCATCCTCCTTGAATGCCACTCAGATTTCTTTCCCTTATCCAATCTGCTGCTTTGCTTTCTGCTCCCTGTCCTGTCCTCCCTCTGCCTGATCTGATGCTCTGCTTCCTGCTACTGTGCTCTCTGTCCTTTCTTTAATAGGCCGCATGCCACACAGAGCTACTTTCGGCACATGTGCCATAGATTCCCTCCCGCCCCCCCGGATTTATGACTAAGTAAAGAAGCGATGTGGTCCAACTGCACACAAAATCATTCTGAAATTGCTACTAATTTCTGAAACACGCTCAGATTATTTTAGAAAATAGAAAAGAATTTAAAATATATAAACTGGAATATATATAAAAAAAATATATAAATTAATTATATATATAAAATAATTATTTAATAGTAAGCATGTGTGGGTGTGCAAGTCCTTTGGCAATAATTAAAACTTTCATTTATTAAAAAATACTGCCAATTTAATGATCATGCTGGTGAACATTTTAATAGCACTGGCCTGACCAACACAGGATACAGTAAATCCTATTCTCTTGCCTCTTGATTAGTGCTACCAATTGTAGTCAGACTGCAAACATAAGTCAAATCAGCAAGCCCTGGCCCAATCTGGGTAGGGATGGTCCATGTGCAAGTTGTCTATGTAGCACTCTCAAGAAAATTTAATTCTGACCCTACAGTATCTGGTACTAGACTTTTTCAGCAGGGATTGATAGCAATACTATAATGTATTATAAAAAAGCAGCATTCTTGGTGAGATATCTCTTCTCCATCATTGAGAAGTAATAGTTAAGACCACAAACTACTCAGCTGTAGGTGGATAATTGGAGATAAGACCCAAGCTCCTAATTTCAAGAGAAGAAAGAGACAAAGCAGTTTTCCATACATAAAACTTAAGCTGACATCAAATACCATCTACTAAAAATGAATGCTCAACAATTGCATTTAATTCTTGCCTTTCAATTTTTACTTACAGCGAACAATTTCATTAGCAGCTCCTGCTGTTCTTTTGCTGCCTGATTTTTAGCATTTTCATCATATTCGTATCCATGTTTTGATAAATAATCCAAATGGTTGTGAAACACTGCAGAGCGCCAAAATTGTTCCTTAACAAGAAAAAGAAAAAGCATAGCAAAATCAGAGGAGAAAAGATGCTTCACACTTTCCCACCAACTTGCATCAATTTATTCGCTAATGTTCCTTTACCATTGCATCAATGTTTGTCTTTAGACTATGTCTAGGGAACAGAACTATGCCATTATAAGAACTGTTTCATGCTTGTAAAACAGGCCACATCTACATGCCAAAGAGCACTTGAAAGAGCATAGATGCTTTCCAAACTTAGCATTTATTTCACTTGCTTTCATCTTAATTTAATATGCTTTAATTTAAACTGTCTAATCCACATAAGTTTAGTGCCAGAGTGTA